ACTACTACTAGTCTACTCTACTGTCCTGACTGCCATCACATGTGGGAAGAGTCATTTTTAAAATCAGATCTTAGAATGATGAATTATCTTTTTCATCTTTCATCACTGGTGGCAAGGTTGTTTTTGATGATGAAATTTTTTTATCTTTATTTCAGGGATGATGAAATATCCTTATTTTCTATCAGCACTGATGGCAAGGTTATTTTTAGAATGATCATCATCATTCTGGATCATAACATGTTATTGTCATATTTAACTTAGTCTTCTTTTTCCGTGAAGATTATTTCTTTGCTGTGGATATGTCACTTGGATCTTATTTTTCCACCTAAAATCCAGGTAGACTGATTCCACAAAGGTATAATTGCTTTCAAAAGTCCAACTGTAAAAGTTCTGACACATAAGCAGGATAGAGAGAAAGAGTCCAAGAGGAAGTAAACATATATGTGTGTGTATGTTTCTGTGGGGAAAATAGAAATGGCTTACCTCCCAAACGCCCTCGTGTCTGTCTGGCCTGTGGGTTGAGAAAAGAAAGAAAGGGTCCAAGATGGCGTCCGTGACTTTTTAATATTCACAGTCTCGTGCAGTCCACATAAAAAATCGCGTTACCACGCATGCTAATGAGTGTGTCTGGGCTCCATAAAAGCAGGTCGCTTGGAGAAATTGGCAGAAGGGCATTACACCCGTGTTCGGTGTACATTGCTTTGCGTTGCATCGTGTCAGACATTTTCAGACGGAAAGAGTTGCGTCCCTTACACTGTTGAATTTGACTCCTTTGCTACAGTTTCCAAATATAGTAGCTGCTGTTTGATCATGTGATGAAGGAAGGTATATTTGTTTTTAATGTAGCAAGGACAGATTAGCCATCTAAATTCACCAGCTAGTTGTGCAAATGTATTTTGCCTCTGGGTATATTATGATGACTGCAATATTGGGGAATGGACAAAATTAATACATTGAGTCAAGTTTTGGTTGATTTTCCATCTGTTTATATACACATTTAAAGATCCTCTTTGAAAAGGCTAGTTACTTCTCATTGGCTTGTGGTTTTATATCTTAGTTATGAAAGCTTTCTGATTGGTTGATCAAACTATTTTTAGGAATGGTGAAATTTTGGTCACCTTGTTATTATTTGTTTATTTCTTTTTTTACATCCTGGTTGCGAAAGCTTTCTGATCGTTTTGTCAAACTATGGTTTTGTTTGGCAATTTTTATTATCTGTCTATTTTTAGAAATGGTGAAATTTTAGTCTTCTTGTTATCTATTTTTATTTATTTATTTCTCTATCACCACAGACTAACAGTATATAGAATCTGACTTAGTGGAATAAAAGATGTAGAAAATGATAAAATAAAAGTATATGTATAACTGTTTTAATGAAAAATTGAGTGAATTTATTTAATGATTGCAATGCAGATTATTTCAATATCACAACACCAAACAAAGTTTTTTTTCAGAAAGAAAATTTCTGATTGTATATTATTCTACTCAAGTTAATCTTACTTATTAGAATAGGGATAAGTGTTTGCTACTAGATTGTATTTCTGAAAGAACCAAAACTGCCTTCAGTGATCAATATTTAACACCATGCTTTAGATTCAGACAAAAAATTCTGACCATTTTACATGTACAATTAAACTCCATGCACTTAATTTTAACCTTAGCAGGGAAAAGGCCATGCAACAGCTATGAACAATTATCCTATATTTTAAGCTATGGGAACTTTTGTTATTACTTGGAATGATAATTTTTCAAATGACCCATGTTCACAGGACATTTTTGTTAGCTTTGTATTTATATATTCATGGCATATGAGGTGTGACAATTTAATTCCTGGGAATTGCACTGCGAAATAACGTTTGCTTATCTGGTCATTATTGACTGCTGTCACCTTCAAAGTATTCCCTGTGCAAAGCTATGCATTTCTTGAAACAGTGATGTCATTGTTGTAAACATTCTTGGAATTTGTTTTCCAGTATGTAATGTAGTCATGTCTTACTGGATATCAGCAAATCTGTCCTTTCAGGGCTTTTTTAATTTTGGAAATAGCCATCAAAAACCACAGGAGACTAAGTTTGGTGAATAAGGTAGATGGTCCATTTTTGTAATGAATTTTTTAGCCAATTTCACAAACTACTAATGCATCATGTGCAGGAGAATTTTCATAGTGGATAATCCACTTTGTCAGACTACAATCTGAGATTTTTCCTCTGAACAGAATTTTGTAATCTTTTCAGCACTTCCAAATAAAAATGAAGATTGGCAGTTTGTCCTTATGCTAAGAATTTGTAGTAAACTATCCTTTTAAGATGTACAAAACAAGCATGGTTTCAAATTGCAAATAAGACATACATGCTACTTTTTCTATTACTTGCTTTGGCATACTGTTTCTGGTTCATATTGAAAACCTCACACTTCATCCCTGGTAATGACCCTGTCAAATATCTCTACACTAGTCAAATGATCTGCTGAAATGTGAAGCTGATAATGTTTCTACACATCAATCAAAACTTAAGGTGCCATTTTTAAGAAGATTTTTCTCATTTCTAATCCTCTGTTAGAATCTGGTGCACCCTATTTGTTATGATGTTGATTTGGGGTTAGTAGAGACAAACGCCAAATAACATGTAACAATAAAAAGGGTTTTAATAGGTTGGTAAAAAGGTACAGAAATTGCCTGAGTAGTCAATAACTAGCTCAGCTAAGAACCTATCTATCTATCTGTCTTCCCCCATGTCAACTGACATGCCACTATTTAAAGTCTTTGTTCGCAGACAAGTTCATCTTCAAGAGGGGTGGTAGGTTTCCGACACAACACTATTAATATTCACTCCTGCTATCAGTCCCAGACTTCTCACCAAGGTTTTCACTTGCTAGAAAATTTGTCCTGGCTTTCCCGCATCAAAAGGTTGAGGTTTAAAAATTTGCGACAAAACGCGAGTCAAACAGCAAGATTAGAGCGGACAAACTCTCTCTTTTAGATGCATACGAATAAAGAAAAAACTCCTGCTCACTGAATGACAACAAAAGAAGAAAGTGTTTATTTACAACATATACAGAAAAAAAAGGTAAAGGGATAAAAGGACGATTAGTAGAGAAAGAAAGGGAAAAGAGAAAATGTTCTTAACTTAAAAAGGCTTGCTCAAAATATTTCTCTGAGCACCTAAAGAGTTCTTTAAGCGATTAGATATTATTGTTAAGGTTCAGAGAGATACACTCACAGTTCTTGTAGAGTTGGAAATTTGTTCGCAGATAAAGAAATCCTGCAGCTTCGATGACAGAAGTCCAGTGGGCTCGTCAGAAGGAGTGGTGAAGGGATGCAGCTTTGGATTGGTCTTGAATTGTGAACCAACATTCATTCTTGATAGCTCTTTAGTAGTTCTTCTTTGGTGAAAGAGGTTCTGAAGCTCTCTAATGTCAACCTCACAGACGGTGGATTCTCCAAATTTTTATTTATTTTTTCCCCTCCAAAATCGTTGTACAAATTTCCTGGCCCCTCTATTGGTCAGAAAACACATTTTTATCTCTGATAAGAATCAGGGCCCTGGGAGACGGTTTCGAAGGTACTGAAAACAGGTTAAAGTGAAGAAGCTGTGAGGTTTCTCCCAGACTTTATGGAACCATGGAAAGAATAATGGTGGTGGAATTCCTTTTTATTTTCCAGCTCTCTCATTAGTCAGAAAATATATTCTTATCTCGGATAAGGCCTTGGGAGTCGGTTTTGAAATTAAAAAGAGGTTGGAATGAGGATAGAAAAAATAGTGAGAATGTGAACTTGTGAAATTGTTGTTCTCAAATTAAATTCCAACACTCTTTCCACATTTGCATTTATTCTTTGTGTTTTCAACTATTCATATTTTTTGCATCATCATGCACATCTTCTCCCTTCCTTGAAGCACCTGTGCCACTCAAAAACCTAAGATATCTTCCTATCATGTTCTTCATAAGCTATTTTCAATAGAGGGGATGTTTCACTTGCACTTTTACCAATCTTCACAGAAAATTTGATTTTAATCCACTGTTCCAGATTCCTTTCAATCATTTTTCACCAACAATATTCTCTACTGCTCATTAACGAATGACTCGTCTGGTCTTTGTCTCAAGAAAGTAGAAGCTGGAACATCCAGCTATGATCAGACATACATGTTTGCCTGACTCATTATCTAGTGACATACTCTGGTCATTCTAAGAACTAAATTACGCACCTCACATACACACACACACATGCATACATATTGACAAAATACAAATATAATTGGTGTCACAACATACTGTAATATAAAATACCACTGAAAAGAGAAAGCAAGCAAATTTGTTTATTGGAAAAAAGAGAAAATAAAGTTACAAAGAAACTGAAAACTGTGTCATATATTAAAAAAAACTTGTTATACTGGTTAACTGAAATTTGTAACAGTTTTATTATTTTTATTTTATATAGATACAGACATTGGCAAACAAATATTGCTTGACCTATATTATTAAGATATAAGAAACAATACATCTTTTAAGATGAAAAATAACATACTAACAGTACCAATAACTTTAAAAGTGTACAATAGCAATGAGGAGAGATATCTCAAAATTTCTTGTTTTATCCATTATTCTCTAAAGAGGAAAAATCACAAAGTAAAATTTTGTGAATCTATCTCATATCATTAACTATTTGAGATTCCAGATTAACAAAGATATGTCACATCCTAACGTTCACTACAACAATTAATAATTATCAAACTCCTTTCCACACTGTTCATTCAGTTTATCTCATAAAAATTATGTACTTACCCATTTTTAAAGCAACAAGTGAACTAAATATTAGAGAACATGTTCTGCGCATGCGCCATTGATCTGTCCCTTTCTTCTTCACTTGGTTTGTCGTCATCAGTCGACATAGCAGCCGCCTCCTTCGCTTTCTCATCATAACCAACACTGCTTGCATTGCACTTCAACACCTTGCCGCCACTATAGCGTTTCTCTCTTGCTAAACAACAATGTCCAAAAACAGAATGCAGTCAACCCTTGTGTTGGCCCCGGTGGTTACCTTCATGAAGACCCTACTCATGGTTTTCAACTTTGTATTCTGGGTAAGTAAGGAAAAAAAACAAAAAAAAAAAAAAAAAAACTAAACAAAACAAATGCGATTAATAAAAAATTAAATCATTGAAACTAAAAAGAAACAGGGACAAATGAAAATAGTAAATTATACCAGCACTGTTATAAACTTCCCCAAAATGTTTTAATTTCTCATGGTGATGAATAGATTCTTCATAAAAAAGACGAAAAAAAAAAACAAAAAAAAAACGATTACTAATTCATCATTCTACGCAATTCTCGAAAAAGGTAATTCGAAGATTGTGCATGTTAAAATAAGACGAAGAAAAATAATGACATAAAAAAGTAAAGATGGTCTGTTTGTTTTGTGATCAATTTTATGCACTTTTCCTACAGTTATTGATTAAAAATTTTACTTTTATAATTTGAAACACCTGTTAAAAATTCTTGTTGTTTCAGCCATCATTTTGTCAAAAAATGTTGTTTTTTTTTTAATTTTTTTCTTTACATGAAAATCTGCGTTTTTAATTTCTTTCTTCCTCATATAATCATCACAATAAAATTTTCGCTTCAGATTTTTTTAAAAATTTTTGGTTGGGGCTTTGTACTGTTTGGAAATGAAGAACCCATTTTTGACGTAATTCTGAACAACAACAACATTTCGTTTTTTTTTTTACTCGTTGGCATTCATTGTATCTTTTAAATAATAACAAGTGAAATGAGGTAACAAATGAAATCTTCGAAAAGCTTTTTATATGAAGAAGGCATGAACTCATGTTCCCAAGTAACTTAATCTTCAATTTAGTTTCTATATAATTTTCACCTTTTAATCATAATTTATGAATTACTAAAAGACAGATTACCGACACTGACAGTAACCGTCACAACTCAACAATTCGTTCTTTTTAACTGGAAAACCACCTCACCTATCAGGCAGACATGAATCAATGAACATTCTTCTTAGTTTTTTTTTCTCCACTTCCCATTTTAATCCATGAAAAATGGAACTTTTTATTTTTTTTTTAATCTCTGACGCTTATTTTCTGCAGACTGTAAAAAAGAAAAAATGAACTCCTTTTTTAAAAAAATTTTTTTAACAATTATTATTAAAGAATTAATTATTGTTTTTGATAATATAAATAAATAAGGTATAATTATTAATTTTGAACCGAATGAAATACTGCATTGATTGATCAGATCTTCCTTCATCAATTTCATCTTCCATTTTTTGCGGTCTCTAGTATTTTTCTTTTTAAATAGAGAATGAAGTTATTGAGTTTATTGATAATATTGTTGTAAATAAATAAGAAAATCAACAATGAAAAATATTCAGATTTTTTAATAACTCAACAGTCAACACAGACTTACTTACTCTCAGTCTCCACCATCATTTTTCTTCTAAAATTTATTTATTGTGTAAAAATTAAATAAAAAAAAAAAATCAAAGTTATTGATATGTTATGGTAAATTTAAGATCGATTTGAAATCATCCTTGTCGTTTTTATTGTCATCGCTTATAAAAATTAATCTCTCTTCGTGAATAAACCCTAATGAATTTTGTTTGATGTGTAAAATGAAAAGTAAAAAACTGAAAGAAAAAAAGTTGATTCTATTTTTTTTTTTTAAATGGTTTCCTTGAAAAAATCTGCGATGTCTCGTTTTTATTTAAATTTTAAATTTATGAATTTTTTGAAGATTGATTTTTTTTTTTTTTTTCCATTCAGTTTTTTTCACTTTTCAGTGTTACGATGTCGGTAAGTGAAAATAAAAATACCGAACTTTAATTTCCTTTTAAATTTATTTGAAGCTGGGGTTTCACATCGACTAAAAAATCTTAATTAAAATTAGAAAATAAAAAGTTGATGACAACCAAGTATTGTCATTGTTATTTCAATTAATTCATATATTTTTCTTTTTTAGTTATCAAATTTGTGCGCTTTAAATTAGAGTATTTTTTTTTATTTAAACCTCAATATGTTGTTTAATTTTATAGTTGTGATTAATTATCCACAATGCTGTGAACAGGCGTATTTGTAATATGAAACGTAGGAAAAAATTAGAAACTTTTTCTGTAGTTTTTTTTCTATATTTTTCTAAATTTCATGTTACACTCAGTGTAAAACGAGTCTTCTAGATTGCGTAATAAAAAACAGTGAAAAACGTTTGGACTTCATTTTTTGAAAATTTACTTGACGTTTTTTTAACAAAAATTGAAAAGTCTTTTATAAGGTAAATACCCTCGTTACGATCGCTGTGCCCTGCAGCCTTCTTCAGATGTCTGTCGATTGGGTAACCTTCAGACGCATGAAGAAGGTCGGAAGGCACAATTGCCGAAACGTTCTGATAATATTAATAACAACAAAGATGAAAACAACGTTTAGCTTTTAGTACGAGTGTAAATAATGTACAATTTCTCATTCCAGAAATTCGGGTAAAAAACAAAACAAAAAAATATGGTCCTATAATTTTAGAGAATAAAATTGGGAATTAATTTGATCAATGTGTTCGAATTAACTTTTCATTTCTCAATGGAGCAAAGTTTTTTTGGAAGTTATTTGTACCTTTTTATTTTCTAAATTATAATAATTTAGTAACTACTTTTTAATGGAAAAAAGATCACATCGTTACAATCCCTCGATAAAACTAAAAGCCATCATTCGCCATTTTTTAATGAAAAGTTGTTAGTTGCAAAGTATTAAGAAAATTAAAACGATTTGTTTTGAAATATCTTTTGTTCTTTATGTATCTTTGATATGGTGTAAACCAAAGATACATATTATCAGAACATAATGCTAAGCTAAGGACATATTTTATGTTATAATTCGAACTGTTTTTCCCATCATTTTTAAAAGCACAAGGTCAAGGATCACTGATTTTCTTCATAATTTAACTTTATTTTTACTTTTTAATAATTAACAATCCTATTTTCTTTGTAGAAAAAATTATCAAAAAATTGTTTTTTGATAAATTTTTATCTCTTATAGTAAAATATTATCAAGCACACGGCAAGCTAATCTTAGATGAAGCAGTGTCATTTATTGTTAATTTTTTACTTGTATTTCATTCATGTTAAAAAATTCAATCACTTTTTATTGCAATGTCCACAATGTAGTTTGAAAATAAAGAATAATGGTTGTATCAGGTCATCCCATAAGTTCTGTCCGAATTTTAACTTTTTGTTAAAATGAACGAAATTTAAAGAGTATTTTATAATGTCTAATGGAGCTGAACATTATTTTTATGTTTAGATGCATTTAAACTGATCAAATTTTATTTCAGAGAACAATAAAATTAAATTTAGTTTGATTAAAACCCTGCTAACATGGAAGTACCCAAAAATCATTTGAGGAACATAATGCTTTATGAGTTCAAGAAAGGAAACTCAGCAGCTGAAGCGGCTAGAAACATTCACTCAGTTTATGGAGAAGAATGTGTGAATGAAAGAAATTGCAGAAGATGGTGTGCAAAATTCAAAAATGGAGATTTCACCCTTGAAGATGAAGATCAAACCGGACGTCTAGTTGAGTTTGATGAAAAGCTTCTTGAAGCAGCCCTTGAAGAAAATCCTGCTTTATCAGTTGAGGAATTGGCAGTGGTTCTCAGTTCAAGCCATACAACTGTTCATTGTCATCTTCAACAACTTGGAAAAGTTCCTAAACTTGGAAAATGGGTGTCTCATGAATTGTCTGAAAACAACCTCAAATCCTGAGTTGACATCTGCTCTTCTCTCCATTCTCGCCAACTTGTTTCACTTTTTTTGGATAGACTTGCGACTGGCAACGAAAAATGGAACTTTTATTGAAATGTTAAGCATAGTAGACAGTGGCTTGGTAAAGGGGAAGGATCTCAGCCACAGCCGAGAAAGGGAACTTCATGGGCAAAAGGTTCTTCTTTCAATCTGTTGGGATCGCCAAGGAATAATCCACTTTGAATTCTTACCACCTAATGCAATAATTAATGCTCAAATATACTGTCAGCAATTAGAACACTTGAACCAAGCTTTGAGGAAAAAAACACCTGCTCTAGTGAATCAAAAAGAGGTGATGTTTCATCAGGACAATGCACGACCACACACAGCAAGAATCACGTCACAAAAGATCGAAGAATTTGGTTGGGAGAAAATTCTTCATCCACCTTATTCTCCTGATCTTGCTCCTTCAGACTACCATTTGTTTCGTAGCTTACAGAATCATTTGGAAGAAACAGCTTTTGTAACACAGGAAGAGGTTAAAATTTGTGAGTTCTTCAAATCAAAGCCAAAAGAATTTTACAGTAATGGAATTAGTAAGCTTGTTAATAGATGGAAGGAAGTCATAGATAATCAGGGAAAATACATTGTTGATTGAATCTGTAATTAAATGTAACATTTGGTTACTTGTTTTCTTTATTCAAAATTCGGACAGAACTTATGGGATGACCTGATAGAATGACAGTTGAAAAGCAACTGAAATTAAGATAAAAAATGCTAGTTGAAAATAATGCAGTAATATCACAAAACTGTTTGCTTCATATTTTTTGGTTATATACAGGACAGTAATGCTTTTTATAAGAATTTATTTGAAGATGTGAGAGCATAAATTAACCTTTCCGTTTTTTGTATAGAAAAAAATTGTTTTTGAATTGCTGTTCTTTTATTTGTGATGAACTTGTTAGCATTATCATTATGACTTTTGTGATATAATTATGGTAATATTACATGCCTCATTACTTCTGAGATGTGATGGTTTTATAGGAATGAGAATGGTTTCAAGTTGCATAGAAATTGTTTTTATCAAATTTGCTGAAAATCAAAGGCTTCAGAATTTAACAGTAGTAACTTTGGTAGATTAATAGTATAGAAAATATATACCAGGTTAATATACAAAGAAAATATACCAGGTTAATATAAAAAATATATTCAAATTTGTTAAAGAATTGTCTGTGTTCATCGCTCTAGAATAGGAAAAAGTTACATTAGTAATCAAGTTATTTACAGTCATGAGGCAAAATTTCTGACAATATAGAAATCTGTCTCTTTACATTCATCTGCAAA